ACACATCTAATGGATCACAGAGGAGACATGCAGGCTCTTTTAGGCCCTGCATGTCTCAATAAAGAGAACTTGTTACCAAACCAAAAAAAAAAAAATCATCACATAGAGGACTTTGTGTATCCTATGTGATTAAAAAAAAAAAGTTAAGTAAAAAAAAATTTTTTTTTCATAAAAAAATAAAGTTACACAAAACACATAACATTCCCCCACAAAATTTTTTTAGGTCCCCCCACATATATGCACATACGAACGTCAGGGCGCCTATGCGTGAAAACATAGTTTGTGATACACATGTTACATATCGCCATGCACGCCGGAGTGAGAACACATACGAACATCAGGAAGCCTATGCGTGAAAATGTTGATTGCAATACACTTGTTACATATCGCCGCACACGCGAGTGAGAGCATCATTCTAGCACCAGACCTCCTCTGTAAAGCTAAAGTGATGACCTATAGGGGCTTTTGAAGTGTCGTCTATAGAAAATATAGGGTACCGAAGTTTGCTGCAATTTCATAGGTGCACACAAATTTAAGGTTTGATATGTTGGGTATTTATTTACTTGGCACAATCTCATCTTTTATATTTTACCAATAATTTGGGTAATTTATTGCATTTGTTTACCCTAAAATTCATGATATTGTGTGACATAAAAAATTAAAACTACCACTATTTTATTTTCAAGGGTGTCTGCTTTCAGAAAATATATAACTTTTGGTGGTTTTGTGTAATCTTCAGGCCTAAAATGATTTTTTTAAACACGTGTGCAAAAACTGCTCTGGCAGCAAAAGGGTTAAGGCTTTAGAGCCACTTTAAACTAAATAATGATTTAAGTAAGCATGGAATTACATTGTATATAAAGTATGATGCATTGGCAGAGGTTAATGCCGGCCCTACAGGAATTCCAGCCGATTCCCACTGAAATGGACAAAATGTGTTCCTGTTTGTGGCCCACTTGGCACCACCTGGCTTGAAAAAAAAATCAGTTTTTCAATCCACTTATTTCAAAGGAGTTGGGTAGAAAATGTATGGCTGAAGAGTACCTGTGTCAAACTAGATGGAGGTAGTGTTCAGGTGTTTAGACAGATGCTGGGGCTTGCTGTCAAAATACAATAGTTGCCACTCCAGATTGGTCCTTCCACGCTAGGAATTTGTTTTATGAAAGCCAAAAAAAGTCCCAAGCAAGCCAGTACTGAAATTGTAGCAACAGTTACCACTTTACATTTTAAAAAACACACACAAAATAGCAGATGCCTCTTTGATGGTGTATGCATAGCCAAAATTTAATTTTTGCATAGAGTAGGGTATAGTTTAACCCTGTCAGTGTATCCTTTTTCTGCATCCTATTGGGATTTGCCTTTACTTCCTGTTCCACAGGTGCAAGAGGATGTGAAATAAAATCTCAGTACTAAGATCATCAATATATAGTATAATAAATCGAAAAAAAAATAAATAATATAATAAGTCTTGGAGGCTCTGTTTACCTAGTAAATGATAGTCTCTAATATTCCTATCATAGCAACAAATAAATCTAGCCACACACAGTACAGACCCTACTTAACCTCCTTCAGATTTTCCAACAATAATGTAGTGCAATGTTTTACCTAAAAAAAAAGTTAGTTTTATCATCAATAAAGCCAGCCATAGATTGATCGAATCTCTGCCGGTTCAACAGGGACCAACCAAGATTAAATCCATCTATGAGCAGGTTGGTGTACTGAAGTAGATCCATTGATCGACTTCAGTACAACCAGCCTCTCAAATTTTTTAGTATGCGATTATTGCTGGCAGCTATAGCTGTTGTTCCGCAGAACACAATAGCTCTGCAGGAGGAATTCCACCATCAACACTGTTGATTTTCTTTCCTTGTACCTATGGTGGGAGGAAAAAAAATTGTATCACCTATGGCCTATTAAAGCGGAGTTCCACTCGCTCTGTAAAAAAATAAAAGTCAGCAGCTACAAAAACTGTAGCTGCTGACTTTTAAAAAACAGCCACTTACCTGTCCCTCCGTCCCGTGTTGCCCCCGCCGCAGCCCATTTCACCGGCCATCATTTATTCCAGGAGGCCGGCATCTTCAGTGTGGGCACCCGACTATGACAGTTTGTGGCTTCACAGCTGGGTGCCCACTGCACATATGCAAGTAGCGCTGCACTTCCTGAATGGCCCTGTCGTCTTCTGGGACCTGTCACGTGTCCCACAAGACTTCGGGGAGGGAGGGTAGGAGGATAACTTCCGTTTCCGATTGCCTAGGCGATTGCAGCATAAGTGGGAGCGGGTACCTGTCAAATTCGGGTACCCGCTCCCCAAAGGTACCAATCCTTAATGAGGAGCGGGGGACCAATCTTGGAACTTTCCCTTTTGGGTGGAACTCTGCTTTAAGGTTGGCCCTTGCACTACATAGTTGTTGGTAAATCTACAGAAGGTTGTACAATCAGCAACATGTATAATCAGCTCAATACAGTACATTAAAATGTATTTCACATGTGGTCTATGAAGTCTGTCTATATAGCCTGACTAACTCGTTCATGTGCTGTAACCATTTTGTTTTATGAGATAAACAAAGCTTGACTTATGCGTAGAAGGACATCAGTTTGAGAACATTGTCACTTTACAAAATATTTTCAGAATTCTCACAGTATGAGTAAATTAGAAACTGCCAACAGAAGCAAAAGCAGCCGCATCAAAGCAAAAATTCACATCAATGGTATTTAGGCAACTCCACCCATTGACGATCTATCCAATATTTCTCTCTTACTGTCAAAGAAAATAAAACAACACCTTACTTTAAGGTTCCTGAAATATTTCTGCATAAGACCTATGTAAAATTGACCCACACGCCACTGTACAATAGCAAATATATTTTAACTGTGTTCTAACAGTTGTGCAAATATTTCACTGTTGTAGCTAATTATTTTTTTTTTTACTGCTGGTCTAAAAGAGTTAAATAGGTGCCTGGGTTTTTTTAGCTATAACTTTGGAAATGTTATTATCATGGTTGATTTATTAAAGTAGTCAGGGCTGCTTCTTTTGTGAAGAATATGTTGGCTTTGCAAAGTAAATGTTAGTAAAAAATAGGTGAAGTCATGTTTACCTTGAGCCTGAGTTCATGCTGATGAGGTGCGACATTCGCAGCGTTTTCTGTGCAAATTCCACACCGCATCAGAATCGTATCCCATTCATGCGAACAGACCGTATGTTAAGTCAACAACACTCCAAAATCGGTTCGCAAAATGCGGTGTGATGTGCAGAGTCAGATCGCATAGGTGTGAATACCCATGCAATTTGATTCTAGTGCAGACCAAAAAAAAAGGGTCCTGCACCTTTTTCGTGTGGGTGTAGTGTGATTCGGTGAGGTTCCTGTGCGAATCACATGCGATGTACTGAGCCACATATATGTAAACCCAGGCTAAATACCCAACCGTGTGCTTGTAAAGATACCTTTTTTTAATTTCCCTTACACGATTGAGTATTTAAACACAGCTTCATCTTATTTATTAACATTCATTTAGCAAAGTGAACCTATTCTTCCCATACAAAGTGAATATTCACTTTGCTAAGTGAACAGCCTTCACTCCTTTACTAACTCATTCCCTATTTTATTATTTTTATTATTTAAGGTGATTCAAAGAAATAAACATATTTCACCTGGAAATCAGGTTGCCAATTCTAATGCAATTCGTAACTTAGCAGGACCATCATAGCCGCCCACATACTCCACCACCCCAAAATTCTGCATAATATATATATATATATATATATATATATATCGGGGCGGACTGACAACTCATGGGCCCCCCAGGCAATAGGGGATCATGGGGCCCCTGTAGCCTTGCCCAAACTCAAAAAAGCCTATGAAAAAGGTACCAGGGGCATTTCATGGGGCCCCCTACTGACCCCGGGCTCTTGGGCAGTGCCTGAGTTTTCAAATAGTCAGTTTGCCCCTGATAGATATATATATATATATATAGACCAGCAACTAACCCCTTTGCCAAGTATTTAAATACACACCTATACAGAAATTGAAATATTTGACAGGTTGCTCTGAGTAAACTGTCGTCATGTTTTAAGCATATTCCCTTTTGATTAACTTTTCAAATATGATACATGTTTTCTCTTAAAACATTTTAGAAATTTATCAATGAATGTTATTCAAACCTCCTTAACATTAACAAGCTTATGAAAATTATAGAAAGCTGCCCTCCAACAGACAGCATGGGAAGTCCAAATAGCTGCTGCACTTCAAACAATTGCTAAGCATCCCTGGAAGCTAGTATTTCTTCATCTCTGAAATGTTTAATAAAAAATTCAGCTGAACATTGAAGGGGTTCCTCCCTCCCCTCCCTTCTTGAACGTCATTTCTAAAATATTGTAGTGGTGGCTTAATAAATGCTGAAGTGCTAAATGCGCCTAGCGTTTCTACGCATTTAGGTGCATTTCAGAGAAATGCCAGTAAACCCAACTGCCTGTAAACTCCTCTAAATGACTATGTGTACATGGACACATCAGATAACATATAAGAGAGTTAAGAGGCTTCAGAAAAAAAATGCCCAACTACTCCTAAATGTCAGTTTAGCAGCTGCAGGCAGTGTACATGAGGCCTAATGAGGCCACATGCTGTGAACCATTTATGATGGAGATAACAGCTCCAATGTCAAACGATATGCTGGTTAAGTAGCATGGACTTTTATAATTATTTTTGCATTGTATTGTTTATTAACCACTTGCCTACAGGGCACTTATACCCCCTTCCTGCCCAGGCCAATTTTCAGCTTTCAGGGCTGTCACACTTTGAATGACAATCGGACGGTCATGCAACATTCTACTCATATGAAATTTTTAGCATTTTTTTAAAACAGATTGAGCTTTCTTTTGGTGGTATTTAATCACCTCTGGGTTTTTTATTTTTTGCTAAACAAACCAAAAACAACTGAAAAATTTTCTTAGTTTCTGTTATAAATGTTGTAAGTAAGTGATTTTTCTCCTTCACTGATGTGCGCTAATGAGGCTGCAGTGATGGGCACTGATAGGCGGCACTGATGGGCACTGATGAGGAGGTACTGGAAGGTGCCACTGATGGGCATTGACAGACATCACTGATGGACACTGAAAGACAGAACTCATATATGGCACTGATAGGCGAAATGATAGGTGGCACTGATAGGCAGCACTGACTGGCACTGATAGGCGGCACTGACTGGCACTCATAGGCAGCACTGACTGGCACTGATAGGTGGCACTGATTGGCAGCACTGACTGGTATTGATAGGTGGCACTTACTGGCACTGATATGTAGCACTGAAAGGCAGCTCATATGGGCACTGATATGTGGCATTGATGTGCACTGGTAGGCACTGATATGCTGCATTGATGTGGCACTGATGGGCACTGGCAGGTGGCATTGATGGGCACTGACAGATGGCATTGATGGACATTGACAGGTGGCACTGATGGGGCTACACTGATCATCAGAGCACACTGATCATCAGTGCTTGATGATCAGTGTACATGTCACCTCTGAGTAATCTCGATTACCGGCTCTGCTCTCCACATGAGCTGTCAGCATGACAGCTCGTGAGGAGAGGAATGGAAGAATGCGCTGTGTCCCAGGGGGTGCGCACGTGCGGTTAGAGTGGAAGGACATCATATGACGTTCTCCCAGAATGAGAGAACCGCTTTGCGTTCGTCATTTCCTTAAAGTAAGAAAAAGAAAGGAAAAACCTAATGTTTCAAGTGCTGAGCCTGCATAGAAAACATGTTAGCACGATGGAAAATGCTGTCTGGATTTGGCTACTTCACCTTCTCTGCTAAAAAGCAATCACTGTACATTAAGCAATTATCAATGTTCACTGGTTAAACATTTTTTTTAGAATATTGCCAAAACATAGGTGGTAAATATTGCTGGTGAATATACCTTGATTCATTTTTATTACTATGCCCCTAAATATCAAGACATTACAAGGTAATATGTGAAAGTGTGTGAAAACAATTTTTGAATCACCAAAATCTGCAGCTTCCATTTAAGTACATTCAGGCAGAGGTCTACTAGGCTCAAAATCTGGAAACCCCTAAAATCAGGTGTGCAATTTGAAACTGGACATATGGTTAAAAGATCCTGCAGGCATCTGGCAGCAAAAAAACAGACGAAATCTAAACAAGGAAATAGAAAACTGAATTAGCAGGAATAAAAGTTGGCTCAGAACACCTGAGTTGGATTTGTAGGTACAATCTCACTGCTCTCTACAATATGTGCTATGGAAACCCACATAAACTGCTAAGCTTGGATTCTGCTGAGCATACAGTCATTTGAAAAAGTGTGTACACCCCATGGAAATTGATGACTTTTTCAAAATTGTATTTTTGGAAATTGGATTTTTTAGGTGTCCAAGGATTAGACAACACAATCTTAAAAGTTATATAATATTTATTAGTACAAAAATTAAAAGCATTACATGTCAATATATCTAGTAAAATGCCCCCTGCCACATTCTTTACAGGGGTTTGCAACACCCTCCCATCGAAAGCCACCCTTGGCATCCCATATAGATGTTCACATCATACATACATATGTGATAATGTTAAACAAGCATAAATTGCCAACCTCTGATAGAAGTAGGTAACGTTGTAGGAGTATCCAAGGGAGCTGAATTCCTTGATGCATTTCACAGGATGCAACCCATGTCAGGAGGATGGGAGAAAATGTCAAGTCTGTGATTATGTAACAAATTGATCATAGATAACATAATAGCATCATATTAGCAGCCTCAAACTTTGACAATTCACTGAACAGGTGACAATACTCACTACATTTACACAAAAGGTCCTGCATGTAATACATACTGCACCACAGATTCCACTGGGGTGAGTGTAGAGCCACCTTAGAGTATGAGCTGGGAGGAGGAAGGGGGGGACAAAAAAAGAAAACATAAGGATTTGACCACCAAATAAGTGTGAAAGATAAGTAGTGATGTACATAACTACTACCAAGTTAGAAAGGTATATTAACAAGCTAGAATGCGCTTAATTCATAGGGGGTAAGCTACACAATTTTACCCACCTGATTGTTAAGAATGACCACTAAGGTGTTATGATCTCTATTGTTAAATATTATATGATATAGATATTAAATGCTGCGGGGGTTACATCACTGGGGGGGAGGGGGTGCCTAATGAATTATGGAAAACTACCATTAGCCCAGCTCTATCAATAGACAAGTATATGATATATAAATAAAAAAAAAAAAAATATATATATATATATATATATATATATATATACATATATATACACATATACATTTATTTTATTTTATTTATTTTGTTCATTTTTTTTTCAATAATAATGTAAGGAAGCTTAAAATTGTGGGTCTGAATGTAAAAGGAATAAAAAAAGAACAGAAAAACTAACCAGTGTTTGTGTCCACTTCCTCTTGAGATTAAGATGTACAAACAGTTGCCTGCATATCTATCCTCATGTAACCTTCATGTTATAGAATAAATGATTGTTTGCAGTTATGTCCATAGAATAAGCCCCATCTCACAGCTGTAAAAAAAAAAATTATATATATATATATATTAATTTCTGTATGGTCGGGACCAATATTAGGTCAAGTATACAATCCAAATGCACACGTTCCTGCATTAAAAATGGCTGTGTGTATAAGTGGGTGCTGCAGTGACTGTCGGCTGGAACCGAACAGAATCAGCAAGGTAAATGTCACCGGCACAGCAAGGATCACCAATATGGGGCCAAAAGTCTTAATTAATGATCACATAGTTACAGCAAGGCAACATTTCGGAGTCTCGCAGGACCCCTTTATCAGGCATGTGACTATGCCACATCATCACATGCTTGATGAAGGGGTCCTGCGAGACTCCGAAATGTTGCCTTGCTGTAACTATGTGATCGTTCATAAAAGCTTTTGGATCCATATTGGTGATCCTCGGTGTGCTGGTGACATTCTCCCTTGCTAATATTAGATCAAGAGATTTATCTAGGGCTCTTGTATTGGTGTCAAGCTCTTCCTTATGTATAATCCCACAACCCAATATGATAGCTTCCAAATAAATATATAAAACACTGGGTATAGACTACTAGTTACCTGTATGTATCCAGGGTGATTGCAAAGAGCCCAATCTCCTTATGATAACATATAACAGTCTATATTCCCCCCCCCCAAAAAAAGGAGGTTGTGTACTGTGGGGACCAGGTATAGTGAATGCAGGGTCCTGGGTTTAGTAACACTTTAAAAGCTATATAATTGCATAGAAACACAAGAATAAAGGTATAATGTCTCTTTTCAAACAATTATGAAAAAAAATAAATAGTCGATGTAATGGTGTATCACTAGATGTAAGTAAGTATCCTTGGCCTCGGAAGCTGGTAATGATCCTTTTAGGCATTTTGTTTACCTTCTTGTAGGCTTTTTGTATAACTGCCCTCCAGTTTATGACATCAATCACTTCCCCATTCAAAAGTTCTTCAATTGCAAGATGTTCATGGGGTTCCTTGTATCACATAGGGTTGACTAGGCCATAACCCCCCCATTGCCTGATTTTGAGCAATGGATTTGCTAAAGCGCTTCTGATTATTATTGTGTTGAAAGGTCCATTTTTGGTTTAACTTCATCCATCAGAAAGAGGGCTTTACAATCTCCTTAAAAGAGCCTTGATATGATGCAGGATTCACAGTTAACTTAATAAAGAAATAACCACAACCTGTCGATTTTGTGTCATTTGATTAAGTTTGTCACTTTTATCTGTAGGCATTGCATAAATACAATCAAATGTTTGCATGTTCAAGTATGTTGAAAAGCCAATAATTTCTATGAGGTGTAGTTACTTTTTCACATAACTGTATGTCAGTGGGAAAAGGGGATGAGGGAAGGAGAAGGGAGGAGAGGAGAAGACACACGGGGATTTACTAAAACTGGAGCACTTCTCCCTTCATACCCCCCTCATTTATTTTCTCTTCTCGTTTCTCCTACATTTTACCCCCGTGTTTTTTTTTTTTCTCTCCCTGTGATTTGAGGGACTCAGGCAAATGCAATAATGGAATGAGCTTGCCGGAACAGGCGTTCATGAAGCAATACCTGGATTGGTGCTTATATTCAAGGGTGTCTTTTCTTTCATTGTAAGGATCCTACTTTATTATACAAAAGAACAAGACCTTAAGTCAAGTCTATTGGCATTTTAGGCAATCATATTAGGAGGAAATCTCCTCTTTTTCTGTTTTGTTGTTTTTCTTATGTACAGATATACTATATAATGTGCATACCCCTTTGCAATTTTTTTTTTTTTTTCTTTGTTTTTGTTTTTTTTTTGTTTTGTATCACCATGTTTTGGGATTTTTTTTTTTGTTTTTCAGTGTGGATCACATGTTTTGTGATGAGTTTCTGTACGCTAATTCAATCAATGAATATTAATCTGAAAAAAAAAAAAACTTATGGAAAAGTAAAAAAACTGAAGCACTGCCAAGTTTAACAGCTGTGGTATGGTAGCAACTTCAATCAGCTTCTAATTCAGCTTGTTCAGGTTCTCATGCATTTGAAAATAAAACCTAGAAGCTTATTGCTTTTGTTTTTACGGCAGAGCTGCACCAGGTTTTGCACGCTACAGTTTTAGTAAGGTAGTTCTCATCCCTTTCACTGTTGGTGCTTATCAGCGGTAGTGAATGATTAATCTGCCCAGGTTTCAAATCTCTAAGGGTAAGTGGCGATGGCCATCTTACTGCAACCATGCCACTTGGAGGTATGCTTGAACTTAAAGGCAAATCCATCAATGGAGTAAAGTCTATGGAAGGTAAAACTCTGTCCATTTATACAGCTAATAGATAAACATAGCTACTGCCAAACAGAAATCAGGCATGGGAACATGCTTAACATTCTTCTTATGGGGGGGTACGCATTCTGTACTAATGTAAAAAAACATCTGTACCAAACACACGGGGACTAGGGTAACAGCAGGAAGTCTTTTTTCTGCCACGCAACTTTCAAGGCCCTTTGCAAATTTGCATGATGCTTCCTAATGTACAAATCTTCTTAAGCCATTGCCTTTAAATGACATGTCTTCTTGAGGCCATAAATGTCCTTAAAAAGCTGTATAGGTTGATTGCTGCTCGGTGACGCAAGAGTTTAACATTCTTCAGAGTAGTCTTTAAGGGGTCTCAATGAAACCACATAAGCCATACACTTGGCAGTTCATATTTGGCTGAAGTATTTTTTTCTCTTTACAGTTAGCTTGAATTTTTGGCCACAACTGTAGCAGCAGCACACCAATCTGAATAAAGAAGAGATTATTTTCTTTAAGAACCCCGAGCTAAAAAAGTCCCTATTCCTTAATACAATCCAAAAGAACACTCAGCATAATATAGAAATAAAAAACCCACAAAAGATATGAAAAGCAGTTTAACTTAAAACAAAGGCCCTATGAACATAAACTAAAAACCA